GGTCTAATGTTCTAATTTCATTCATGACAGTCTGGATACTGACCATCAAGGAATTGTTTGATTTGACCAAGTGGCCTCACAATTTTGCCTTATTTGTGTAACTTCTCAGAAGGTCGCCCATCTTAGGAGTGCTCTAGGACAATAATACTTAACTTTGGAGTTTCTAATGAACTCTCGTCTTTGTACCAAAAGGCTCTTTGATGTTTAGAGGTTTAGCTTTGTTCTACTTGAGGGGTTTCACAATATCTCTCGCTTAAGTACCTCATAACCTTGTCAGTGTTCTATACCCAAAATCATCCACCATGCAGATAAGATTCTAGAGGTAGCCCCTACAGATTCAAGAGGTGGCTCACATTTTGTCTCATCCAATGTTCAAGAGGTGGCTCCCATGGCGTAACAACTTATTCTATATGACACTTAGTTCCCATCTTTCAACTTGTGTAATGCTCTGATATCATTTCCGATCTATTATCTTCATGATTGTAGCATGGCTTTGAAGCAACAAAGTTAAGAACAGAAGTTCAAATGTAATTATATTTTAATTTATTATAATTTTTTTCACATTTATATAGAAACAAGAAATTAGGAATAATATGTTGCATAATTAACAGTATGATGAAAGATGATAGAGAAAGAATGACAAACATTGGGATGATTATAAAAAGATGAGCTTCACTAAATGCGTTAAGTACTTAATTTTGATTTTATTTTCTAACAATCTAAGCTTTTGATTGCATGATCGAATGATAGTTTATGTTTTTAATATAAAATTTATTTTATTCATTTTTTTTTTGATATAAAAAATCTGCTAAAATTACTTTTTGTACAACTCCCCACTCTCATTAGATCTCACTCATAGTGCTTTGGATGTCGTATTTATCTTCTACAAATATTAATTATCTACTTCATTAAACATTTATTTATTTATATGTTCATTTTGACATGAAATATAACAAAATATTATGTTGCACATCAACATGCAACATAATACTTTTAAGCCATTTCATTTTTTCGTCAATTTTAATATAATTTAATTTGTTGACTTGTGGATGTTCGGAAATTAGGGGGAAGAAAAATAAGAATCGATTCAAATCCAGAAGAACACGCAGGAATTTACGAGGTTCGGCAAAGATGCCTACATTCTTCGGAGCAGAGCGGCGACTTCTTTTTCAATATTCATCAAAAGAGTATAGAATATAAGATTCATAATCTCAGAGTCTCAAAAACTCACTAAGAGTTACAAACATGACATATGTATGATCATATAGTACAATATGTAATTACTTAAATTGCTCTTGTATCAAACCGCGGGGTGTTGCCCCTACACCCCCAACCCATATAATGAAACTCCCCTGATTGGACAGATCCTTCCGCTCCACTCTGCTCGTGGGCTTCGCTCCGCTCCAGCATCTATCTCATTTATGATATATGAGTCATACCTAACAGTGGATTTGTTCCATTCATTTGGGAGAGTAATTAAAGCAGTTAGTTGAGCTCATCGATCAATTTCATCTATGAAATATGATAAAATAACTAGAAAGAAGGCAGGCGTTGATATGTATTTTAACGGCACATATAACTTCTCTCCCTCTCTCTCGCTCTCTCTCTCTCTCTCTCATATACATATAATATAGCACTATCAATCATCTAAATATTTTATTATTTTTATATTAGAAGTGAAATCAAATAGATTGTATGATACTAAGTTCCGGCCAAAGGCTTCATTAATTATGGGGAAAGATTCATTTTTTAAATTAAAAGAAATGAAACAAAATCTTAATAATTTACAATTTAATTATCCATTGATTTCATATTAAGCTTTTTAACCACCATTTTTTCATTACCAACAGTCAATGCGCTGCTGTTGACATCTACAATTAATATATTAGAGAATATAAGACATAATATCTGAGTTGTTGAATTTAAAAATGTCTGAAAAACACACCCAAGATATAAAAAGTCCCACAGAGAAGAGAGTACAATGAGAAATAGTACAGAATGCGTAACATTTATTCATGACATCGACCTCCTATTTATAGGAATTGGTGCAAGTTTTATAAAATTACAGATTTACCCTCTCATTCTTAAGTCTTTTAAATTAGTCTTTTAGTGTTTCACAAAAATATTGATTAGAATAAGACCGATCAACTCATCCGGTCGGGAGATGCTTGTCGATCATTTGTTCCATGATTACAAAGCCGATCGTCGTTCCGAGAGACAATTCCGTCGATGCGTGACGGTTCCTCGATGTGTTTTGTCGGAGTGATTTCTTCGATCTTTTGTTTCATGCTTTGATTGTCAGCGTATGATCCATCGATCGTCTGGCAGTTGTCCATCGTTGTTGTCCATGGACGATCGGACTTGTAGTCGATCGCTCATTTATGTCTTCTGAGCAGTCTGATTGTTTAAAGTTTAGTGCAACTTATTTTTTGTATACATGAGTACACAACATAGTGGAAATCAATCACACAAAGTATTTGGAGATGAATCGATAGGATGAACTCTGTTTTGTTCTTTCTCAAATGAAAAGTTACGACATGATTTGCATTGCCAACTCACATAACTTAACAACATAATTTGGCACTAACTATAAAAATTAGAAACAAAAGAATACTACAATTTAGCTCGTTTAATAGGTGCTATAACATCACCAGAGCTGCTACGAAAAATTGTTGAAAAAAAGAGACATGCATAAACTAAAGAGACAAAAAATTTATCTCATGAAGGTAAATTGCCATGGAATGCTCTTGATATAAGAGCACAAGCTCCATCCCAAAGAGTATTTAAAAAAAAACTTCTGATAAGCCAATGAGCCGGTAATGCAACTATTAAACCTTTTTTCAAAGAAGATGATCCAAGCCAATCTCATTGAGCGCCACCTCTAGCCTTTGTTGATCAATTTTGTCAGCATTAATGGAAGAGGAGGCATCGGTGATATAGAAAGAGCCAACCATCATGCCACTCTCATTGGTGAATTTAATCTTCTTGACTGATAGGTTATTCTCTCTTAATGTCCTACTCACATTAGAGAATAGACCGTGGTGGGCCAAAACAGGAGCTTCGTCTTTAGCCCTCACTCACTCAATAACATACATTTAACATGCAAAAATATCATATTTTTATTTGTTTAGAAGTACAAAAATTATACATACTCGAGATATTTTCCATTCACTAGTACCTCCTAAATTGTGAAGTTTACTTATTTTATCCTTTTAATTGAGCATTGTGCGCCCAGTTGTTCACCGTACAAATTATTGTTGCATTATGATTCGTGTTGCGGTGAAGCACACATGTTAATCACACAAGTATACATGCCGATCAAATAGTATACAGATTGTGAGTTTGTGTATCGATCACACGAGGAATGTGTTAATTCTTAAACATGGTAATTACTAGTTTAGTAATCCTAGGTTTAGTTCAAAATAATTTAGTTATTTGAAGAAGCTCTAAGAAATCCTTGAATTTTAAAATACAACAACTACAATAAACTTTTCTCCCACTATGTGAGGTCGACTACGTGAATCCTTTCTCTCCATTGTGCACAAAAATCCTAGAATTTTAAAGTGACAGCTAAACATTTTTGGGCTTTTAATACAGCTGAGAACATTTTTCCTTGAATTTAATCTTGCAAAAATTAAATTGTTCATCCACCAAATTCTAATGTGGTTGATAATCAAAGACAAATATTCCTTAGTCTTTCCAAATATAAGAAGCATTGGAGCCTCATATTATTGTTAAGACCCCTTAACCCTATAAAGTCTTCCAAAAATGAACATTCCCCTATGTGATTGCAATTTGCTAATGAAAATATTCTTATTCTACTAAGAAACAGTGTGTTCACCTAATTATTTTTCTAACATACAATCAATAGTCCTAGATCACAATGCATTTTAACATTTCAAGTGGTCAATTAGAAAGTAAATAAAGCATTAAAAATTAACACATCAACATGTGAGAATTTATTTTCAGAAAACTACATGGATTGAACAATCATTTTGCAAGACCAATCCAAGTAAAATCTTAGTTCATAAGCTTTAATATTGAACAAATAAAAAGATTTATTGATAAAAAATTTAAATTTTATAAAAATAAATAAAGAGAAGAATATATTGAACAAATAAAAAGATTTATTGATAAACAATTTAAATTTTATAAAAATAAATAAAGAGAAGAATAACGTGGATCAAATCATGTTTTGCTCTAAGTTCCTTCCAATTGCAAAACAACACCACTTTGATTTTCTTTCTCCCGCTCACACTCACACTAGATAAATTTAATAATTCACACTCAAAGTTGAACCCTACAAAGTGCTCCTCCAAGTGCTTCGCTTGCCCTTACAAGATTCTCGGTAAGTGTTTGGGGCTTGGTTTCTCTTTTTCAAATGAAGATTGAGTATTTTTAAGCCTTTATATTGTAAGTATCGTCATAAAACATTTTAAGTTGGTAGGGAGCATTGAGTCACTAACTTGGCAGCGATAGAGCACTAGCACTGGCCACAATAGTGCTAGTATTGAGCGCCACATTTTGGGATATGATTCGTTAGATTAGGGAATCATGTTTGGATGTGTTGGTCAAGATGGCATGGTGGCGCTATATTTGGGCGCATGCCCCCTAATGCTACATTGTTCTGCACTCTGTTCTTTATTTGGAAGAAACTTGCTTCAGGTGAGGTGGTGCTTGTCCTCTAACCCTGGGTTTTAGCATACTGGCGCCTAAGAACTATATTTGGGTGTTGGGGTGCTTGTCTCTACCTAGCTCGATTTTTTTCCCAAATGCTCACTTTGATCCTATATGCTGCATATAAATAAAAAATATACCCACAAAAAGAATAAAATTGCACAAAAAATTTGAAAATAGTTATTATAAATCACATCACATTTAACATACATCAAATTAAAATAAATTAAAATATAAACTCACATTTACAATTCATTCTTTTAGCTTAAAAATTAATTAAGCATATGAACTACTACCCAATCTTGGGAGATAAAGGAGCCATGAAAAATATTATAATCAAGATCTATTAGAGCACGCACTACATCAAACATCAACTTAGGTCTATTACTACTACTCACTTTCACAATTAAGTAATCCATATTTTTCCAACTTTCAATCAAACACCTATGGCAAGCACCCCCACATTGTTACGTTTACTAGCACTTCCAAAACTCTTCTTGTCCTCCATGATCATAGCCACACTCAGTTGATCTCTCTTGATTAATAATTATCAAAATTTGACATCGTAATTCATGTACATTTCCATAAAATGATGTTGTCGCCGCTCCTTATGAATCTGACATGCTGTGGAGCCTTATAGTCCCTTAGAGAAGCGTTTTGTCTTTAAAATACATGTCAATTACTCTCCCAAGTAATCAATGCTAATTGGATCCATGATGGGCTGACCCGTGTCTGGTTCTTTTAAATTGAGGATGCAAACAACATGTCCATTGTAGGTCCATAATTCACCTGATTTAACGAAGTATGTGAGCTCAAAGAGCACGCTAGCAATATAAGAGAAGATATCAGGGCAATCGAAGACTGTTACTTTATGGACAATGTAATCGAAAGAAAATAATAAAAACTAACTATTTGTCATTGTTGGTTTTGACTTGGGTTGGGTTGGAGGTTATGTTTTGTTTTTGGAAGAAAATAAGAGATTTTTGCATGTACATTATAAGTGTTGGGTTTCTGACCTGGTGCCCTTGGGGATCGATGACATAAAATTTATCCATAAACCAACCACCAGTGCATGAAATACAGGGCATTGAGATGACGACGTCCAAATCACTCAAAACTTGAACAATTTTTAGCAAAATATTGTGCTTGTTTGCAACATCCACCTGCATTCATTACAACAAAAAAAATTTATATTTATTTTCATAATATATTAATATAATTTGTGTAAAAAACATATTAGAGATGTTTATAATATCTAATACAAGAGAAAAATAGAATACCTTGATGAGAGTGTAATCATCACACGTTTGATTATTGATACATACCCTGCAACAAATAATAAACAATCTTCAAGGTTATTAAATAAAACTGATAACCAACTCATTTCTTATGTTAGATGAAATTTATTTTTGAATGGAGAGCTTAAAAAACAATATTTATTTATAGTAATTTGCGAGATTCGTTGCCACCATAAGAAAAGATTGTGTTTGCTTATCACAATGTTTCTCTTGTTTGAAACAGTCTCTCACGCAGTCATATAAAACAAAAAAAATTTGAAGTCGTATAGAAAAAACAAAGGATGTGCAAAACAAGAATGCACAGATTAAATAAATAGAATCCTTCTTTGCTATTGAGCATTTGTTGCATGGGATGCCTAAATATATAGAGCTTTTATTCATATAGATTTTTATGGATACTTATTTATTGTGTTTCTATCATGCTCTTTGTGTTCACATGTATCATGTAAACTTGATTGTTGAATGAATACTAATCTACTTTAGTGTGAGAAATATTAATTCATTTTAAAAATTATGCATGTGATTTTTGTATATATTATTGTATTATGTAGGTTTATAACATTACTGAGTCATTTTTCTTACTTTATCAAAAATAATTTTACTTGGAAAATTATAAATAAAATCAACAAAAAAAATTGTTTTTTTATTTCTTGTCATTAATTTTGAAGATTCTACAAAAGGATTATTTCACTTTTGAAATATTAAAAATACTAATATTTTTTATATGATCATAAAAATAATGGAGTGGTAGATATGTAAATATGAAAGCTTAGGCATTAAATATATGTTTCAATTACAAAATCATTCTACTTCAATTTCAAAATCATTCTAAAGAAGCAATTAATATTTTCAATTACAAAATCATTCTAAAGAAGCAATTAATATGTTTATTACATTTTGTTTCAAGTATAACAACCCAATCTTGGGACTGATTCTTGTTCACAACTGAAGCCATGGAATCAGGAAAGGAAATAGGGAAGGAAATAGATGAAGCGATAGCAGAGGACGGGGACTTGATTCTTTTTCACAACTGAAGCCATGCATTTAGGAAATGAAATAGCTTACGTGTTCTCATTACCGTAATTATAGTCCAAATATTTCCTGCTAAAACCATTAATAAATAGCATCAAAATATCAATATGATATTCAGACTTAATGCTCTTTGTAATGATCCATCGTCTTCTCTCACTTTCCACCAGACTTTTCCTTCTCCGTCTTCATTTTCCACTGTCGTTCCCGCCGGACTTCTCCTCCTCCGTCTTCTTTCTCCACTGTTGTTCCCGCCGGACTTCTCCTCCTCCGTACTCTTTCTCCACTGCTGTTAGATACAACAGAGTGATCTTTGTTCCTTGATTTGAAATCAATGGTTAGCTTTATTTAAAATATTGGATGTAAATTTTGTTTAAATTATGACTTACAGAGACACTAATAGCGAATTCTTAACCCTATTTTGAGTCTCAAATTGTCCCCCTCCCACATAATATCTCTCCCCTTGGGTAATTACAATTTAACTATTATTATTATTAATTTTATTTTGTTCGGGAGATGGATATGTCATTCATATTCTTCTATTTTTTGTGAATGAAATGAAAATAGTCAAAAGTTCAAACGAATGAATAATCTTTCTCTAACATATTAAATAGTTCGTTTTTATTTTTATTGAAATAATTTTGTTGCAGGATATGTATTGATAATGAAACATGCACTGATTATACACTCATTATGGTATTTTTTTTTCTATTGTATTATTTATTCATGTTTTTTTTTCAAAAAAGTGCAAATTTTTTTATTATGATGAATGTAGGTGGATGGCATAAATAAGTCTGATATTTTGTGTTGCAGGATATGTATTGATAGTGAAACATGCGCTGATTATACACTCATTATGGTATTTTTTTTCTATTGTATTATTTATTCATGTTATTTTTTTTTCAAAAAAGTGCAAATTTTTTTATTATGATGAATGTAGGTGGATGGCATAAATAAGTCTGATATTTTGTTGAATATTATTCAAGTTTTGAGTGATTTGGACCTTATTATCTCTAAGCCTTATATTTCATCTGATGGCGGTTGATTCTCTGATATATTTTATGTCACACATCCTCAAGAGCATAAAATAAGAGACTCAACATTTATAGGCATATACAACAATCCCTTATTGTTGTTGCTCAAAACCAAAGAGAACCCTGCAATCCAACACAAGTCGAAATCAGTGATGGCAACATAGTCGTCGTTTACCATTTTGCCTCGGACTGCACCGCCCTTGAAATAACTTTTTTTGATCGACCAAGTATCTTCTCTCAGATTGCCAATGTGCTCTTCGAGCTATCATACTTTATGGAATCAGGAGAATTATGGTCCTACAATGGGCATGTTGCTTGCATCTTATATTTAAAGGAACAAAACACACGTCAACCTCTCATGGATCCAATTAGATGTAAATACCTAGTAGAGCAATTGGCGAGTATTTTGAGGATTCAACACTTCCCCAATGAACTATGGACAGTGAGACTGAAAGACTCCATAGCATGTCGGATTCACACTGAACGGTGACTACATCAGTTGATGGATATGTATACATTTATCGATATTGCATCAAGATCACTATCAGTCAATGACGATCAACTAAACATGACAACGATCATGACAGATAAGACAAGTTTTGAGAGTGTTAATGAATATAGCCAAGCGATAGGCTTGCCACAAGTGTCGATAGAAAGTTGGAAAGATGTAAACTACGTAGTTGTGAAAGTGAGTAGTGATAGACCTAAGCTCATGTTTGATGTGGCGTGTGCTTTAACTGATATTAATTATCATATATTTCATAAATCCATTACCTCCCAAGATTCGATAGCATATCAAGTGCTTAATTAATTTTTAAGCTTAAATTGTCAATTGTAAATGTGAGTTTATGTTTTAATTTGTCTTAAATATAGGAATATTTTGCACGGAGAACAAATGAGTACATGATGCTGAATGAAATAGAAAAATAAAGTTTAATTTAAAGTTTGACAAGTGCTATTGAACGGAGAATATCTCGAGTATGTTTGATTTTTGTGATTTTTAGATCAATAAAAAATATGATATTTTTGCAGGCTAAATCTATATTTACATATATTTGTAATTGAGTGCAGGGGCTAAAGATGAAGGTGCGTAAATTGGACCGTCATGGTCTACTATCTAATGTGATTATGACATTAAGGGAGAATAGCTTGTCGCTCTAGAAGATGAAATTCACCACTGAGGATGGCTTGGCAGTTGGTTATTTCCATATCAGTGATGCCTCCTCTTCCACTAATGCCAACGAAATTGATCAGCAAAAGCTCGAGGTAGTGACAAAGCCTCGAGACAGTGTGTAATGAGGTTGGTCGATTCGTCAACTTTGAAAAAAAGATTAATGAGTGAATCACTAGCCCGCCGGCTCCTAAAAAGAATGTATTTTCTTTTATTCGCTCTTTAGGAAGGAGCTTGTGGTTTCATATCAAACGTTTCATTAGCAATTTCAGATTTGTGAGATAAATTTTTAATTCCATAGTTTATTAATGCCTCCTTTTTGAACAAATAGTTGTAGTTATTCTTATGATTTTACACTGACAATTAACCGAGTTAAATCGTAGTATTTTTTTTTTTTTGTTCATAATTTTTCTTGTTAGTGCTAATTTACTCTGTTTAGTTATGTTTGACGTAACATCTAAATCGAAAGAAAGAAAAAACAAAGAGGATTTGTATTTATCTTTATCGTATTATTTCAGTGAGGAAATGATAAATAAGATTTTAGTGATATATATGTATTTAAGTCTTCCATTTTATTTAAAATCCCGGCTCATATGATCATTTAGGAAAAGTAATTTATATAACTTAATTTCATAATAATACTTGTCTTTTTTAATTAACACACACTTTCATATAATCTAAAATCCGAATAAGAGTTGGTCACAGTTTATGGATCATTCACTGAAAAAATATAAGATTGAAAAAAATGAAAAAAAAATATAATAATTGGAATAAAAATGAATTAAATTTATCATTTTTTTTATATTTTTATCCTCATCTAAAATCATGCATATTGTTAAGAGTCGGGCTGGGATAGTTGTTGTTTATCATATTTTAAGATTTTACGGAATAATTTTATTTCGTAATTATATAGATTTTTAAGTATACAAAAAATAATTATTTTTATAACTAAGTATTTTGAAAATTATAATTGTGAGAAAATGCTTATTAATTACAAATTCAAAGGTTTTAAATTGTGTAGCAAGAAAAACATCCAAAAAACTATTTAAAATTCTATTCGCTTTATGGCTTCTCTGGTGGCGAGAGAAAGAAAGCTTTGGAAATAATAGGCTTATCAGTGACCTAAAAAGAAAACGAAAAGCAAGTACACCAACATGGAGAATTTCTTGGTGGTTGATTTGCCGCCGACTTACAATGTCCGGTGGCGAGAGAAAGAAAGCTTTGGAAATAATAGACTTATCAGTCACCTAAAAAGAAAACGAAAAGCAAATGCACCAACATGGAGAACTTCTTGGTGGTTGATTTGCCGCCGACTTACAATGTCATTTTTGGTAGGCCCCTATTCAATGACTTCAGAGCCATGACTTCAACGTATTACATAGCGGTGAAGTTTCTAGATGATGGGAAAGTTATCACCATTCGAGGTAACTTGGTGTAATCTCGAACTTGCTAGCTCTGGGCAGTCAGAGGCATGGAGTAGGAGCAGCTCGAACTTCAAAACCTGCAAGGAGCCCTCGAGACCAACAAGACCATTCTCCAAATCCTAGCATCAACGTAGAGCATGAAATCTTTTTTTAATAAGTGAAATTTTAGATTCAAGGTGGAAAGTTGCATTGATATAGACTCTTCGAGAGCATAATAACATTTTCGCCTAGTTGGCCACAAAAATGTCAGGGATATTGGTCGACGTAGCATGCCACCGCCTCAACATCAATCTTAGTTGTATGATCAATGAAACAGAAGGTGAGAACTTCTTTTATTACCTTGCTTGAACAAATCTGTGAGAAGGCGCAGAAGCTCATGCAGGCCAAATATATTTGAGAGGTTCAATATCCGACCTAGGTATCTGATGTGTAAAAACTTATCGCGAATTAAGTCGGCCGCACAATGCAAAAATATGTGTCAACTAATA